ACCCCCCACCGTCCGGCCCGGTGCACAACACTGTCATTACCACGACTGGGTGGGCTCGCAGCTAAGATGCGTTTAATTTTTGCATGACCGGTCACGCATCCCGTCTTTTCTTTGCACGACGCGTCTCTACGATGGTTTTTCACTGAATACCAAGTTGTGTACAACGAACGACGATCACTTGAAGACGCGATTCCTGTCCGTCCGAGGGTACCGAGCGTAATTTTGTTTTTTTTGAGAAACAGTCTTGTTCTCTTGCCGTTTTGAATTTTTTTTCCTCCAAATTTGCATGTCTCGCCCTTTTCATTCAAAGCAGTCGTGCACGAGGGCGGGCCGTGTCGTCACGCTGACGTGGCCGCCCACCCGCCTCTCTCTGCTCTCCCGCATCGCTCTCAGCCTATCATCCCATATATCCGCCCGCGAGTAGCTAATCGCCGAGCCGCACCGGGGCCAGCTGCTTTACTTTTCGCAGTCGATTTGTAAGCTTTATTCCGTAGTTTAGCGGCCCCATCCCGGAGCCGTCCGCCGCCGGCCTCCTGGAGGCGCTGCCCGGGCAGCCAGCCGTGGCGCGGGGAGAGGCGGGCGAGGCGGGATGTAAAAAAGAGGGAGCATCTTTATTAATATGAATACGACACGGCGCGTTAGCCGGGGGCGGTGCGTCAGCCGGCGTGCCTCTGTAGAGCGGCTGCTCGGGCCGCTCGGGATGCTCCTCCGGACCCCCATCAACATCACCCCGTGTGTTTGCGCAGTCCGCTACTCCTGCGGCGACGTCACCTCCGAGACCTCGGCCACCTTCCAGTCGCCCGACTTCCCCTCCAAGTCCTCCGGGTCGCTCGCCTGCGACTTCGACGTGGTGGTGCAGAGGGACGCCTGCGCCGTCAGGTAAGGGTGCTCGCTCGGCGAGGTGAGGGTGGTGGGGAGCCAGTTCCATTTTCAGGCAGCCCAGCCAGGCGCGGAGAGCGGCGCCCCCGTCAAAGAATCGTCGCCGCCGCACTTGTACAGCCCTGTCGCTCTCTCCGTGTCCCCGGCGAGCCGTGCCGAGCTACGCACCGCCACGCTCTGGTTGTTCTGCCATGTCCCCAGGGTGGAGTTCGTGTCAGCGCAGGTTGCGCGCCGCCTGGGCGGGGCCTGTGATGTGGACCAGCTCCTCGTCCTAAACTCGGCAGACGGCCCGACCGCCCCCCTGTGCGGACCGCTCTCCGGCTACGCCAGTGAGTACACAGTTAGGCGACCCCAGAGGGAGGGAGGGGGACGGGGCGAGACCCAACTGTATTGTTCCGCGCTCTTGTACCGAGTGAAACGGCCTTGCCTCTACTTTTTATTAAATCGCCTCATTGCGAGTCATTGACGACAATTTATTACTAGAAAGCAACAAGTGTGTGCAACGTCGCTCACTATGCTTGCGGGCGATGGATGATCGCGATGATAGTCTGCGCACAAATAGTTCCTAATCCCTCTCCATCTGTTGGAGTGTTAGTAGTCGCAAACTTGAGACGGAGCATACCGAGAGCAACTGACTCCCCTTTAGGTGTACCAAGTAAACAAGTTTAGCACACTTAAAGAAAGAGTGACATTTTAATTGGCAAAAGTACATTTGTACGAACTCGTTTCACTCTGGACTCGGTTTTGCAGGAAGGGGAATGCTGCGGGGTATTTAACAGGGGTTGGGGTATGTTGGTGGGGTGGAGCCTCACCTCTGCTCTTTCTCTTTGCTCTCCAGCGACGGTCGCCGTCACTCCCGGCCAGCAGAAGCCCCTGAAGGTGGCGGCGCTTCTCCAGAGCGAGGGCCCCTACTACTGGAGCGTGCAGCTGACGCAGCTGACCTGCCACCGGCTCCCGCAGCTACAAGGTGCGTCCCCGAGAGCAGCGCGGCCGGGTCGGGTGGCGACACAACGCGACGGCGTTGTAGTCCGAGAGGCGCACTGTGTTGTCTGCCGTCGGCTAGTAAGCTCCCCGAGGGGGCGGGAGCGGGCCACCATAAGGTGAGGGGTGTGTGGGCTGGGGGAGAGCGGCGCGGAGCGCAGTGTCCCACTGACCTGCATCACTGCATGCGCCCACCACCCCGCCGCCCCTCTTTGACATGCACAAGCCTTCCCCTCTCCTCTCCCCTTGCATTTGGAACGAGAGTGTAAAGCAGCAATTTTATACGGCAATTCGCATGTCTGAAACAGCATGCATTCCAGTATTCTTCCGACTGCATGAAGTTTGGCGGGCAGGGCTGATTGATTAACGTCGACTTGACGCCTCACTGCGATACATTGCGACATTACGGCCCTTCAGCGTAATGCGATTAACTCTTTTCCTAGTTCGATAGTGTGTTTGATTTTGGTGTAACTGTTGCAGCGCCTGCGTCCTGCGGACGACAGTTCCCGCCCGATGAGGCCGCGGGCGACACCCCCCAGCAGGGGCCGTACAACTACCACCACCAGCCGGGCCTGCAGGGCATGCAGGGCCCCATGCGCAGGGTGGGGGACGTGTTCGGGGCCAGGCAGCCCGGTGGGGTGTGGTGGGACTTCCCCGAGGCCACGAGCACCTTCCACCAGCGTGAGCATAATAGAGCTGCGGCGCCAAAATCGATCGCCATGGCCAACAAGTGATCACCCCTCCTTGTTCTTCCTGCTCACAGGGGCGCTCCGCCGGCAGCTGCAGCAGCTGCGCCAGGTGGGGTCAGGCATGCACCTGCCGCAGCTGCTGGAGCGCATCGTGGGCGGGCAGGACGCGTCGCGCGGTGAGTTCCCCTGGCAGGCGGCGCTGCTGCTCGACCACCTCTTCTTCTGCGGCGGCACGCTCCTCAACCACGAGTTCGTGCTGACGGCCGCGCACTGCCTGATGACGCGGGACACGGCCATCTCGCAGCTGCGCGTGCTGCTGGGCGCGCTGGACCTGACGGCGGCTCGCGAGCCGGGCGGCGAGGAGCGAGGCGTGCGCCGGGTGCTGTTCCACTCGCACTTCCAGCCCTTCCTGCTGGACCACGACATCGCGCTGCTGCAGCTGCAGCGGCCCGTCGCCTTCTCCAGCGTCATCGAGCCCGCCTGCCTGCCCGGGCTCCAGGGCATGACCGGTACGTGCCTGGACTCTGTGCTGTTCAGGTTCTTGCTCCCCCTCAGTCAGCGCCCCGCTCAACCCCATCTCTGATCCCCAGGCGGCCCCCCGCCGGGGCTGACGGCCTGGGTGACGGGCTGGGGGATCACGTCCTTCCCCGCGGGGGACCCCAGCGCCGTGCTGCAGCGCCTCGCCGTGGAGACGCTGCCCGTGGCGGTGTGCGCCCGCCAGCTGGAGGAGCCCCTGGGGCCCGGCATGGTCTGCGCCGCGCCCGCCTCCGTCCAGGGGACCTGCTTCGGGGACAGTGGCGGCCCGCTCACGCTCGAGCACGCCGGCCGCAGCTACGTCGTCGGCGTCGTCAGCTTCGGCGTGACGGGCTGCGCCGCTCTGCCGCACTTCCCCGACGTGTACACCCGCGTGTCGCAGTACCTGCAGTGGATCCACGTCAACGCGCTGCCCTGAGGGCGGGGGCGGCGCACCACCGAGACCCTGATCCCGTCAATACGAACCCGTCGGCCTGCGGCGCCCCTCTGCTACCGCCCTCGAGCTTATCAACACAGACACGTACTTGGCGGTTATTTCCCCGCTGCTTATAACGCCGTCCGAGCCGAGCCGCGCCCCGCCGCGCCACGCCGGGTAAAACTTGATTACAAAGTTGGCGCGCTCACTTTTTTTACTGCGCAAGAGGCGAGCGTTTTATCAATATTTATACGGAGGGTGGCCACTCCACTCTATACACACCGGTGAGAACGCCGGTGGGGGTTGTGGCGGGGCGGGGCGCGGCGGGGGCGGACGGGGTAGTCCTCCCCTGCCCCAGCGCGAGCCTATTTGCGATTCAGATCACTGTCCTCCAAGACGGGTACGACGATGACGTGGCGGGGGCATCTAGGGAGCCGCGCAAAAATAAAATCACAAGTGTGGCAAAGGGGGAAATGAAACTCAGACAGCGAAAAATAATATCTGTGGGCGAGAGCGACATGTTTGAACGCAAGACGGCGTGATCTCTGCAAAATAAATACAAAATACCAAAACTGGTCTTAAGCATGACATAACCCATGTAAATGACGACATGTTGCACCATCACCAACATCCCAGGTGGGCTCTTACATAGCGCTCCATCGGCACCTCGAACGAAAATGAAAAGAGCAAACACTGCGGGGGATGGAATCGGCTTGCGTCCTTTTCTGATTGGATTCTATCTTCTTCTAAAACTAATCAAGACGGCGCGTGCGAGTCTGTTCATTCTTCCGGTTGCGTTCTCCAAAAGACTTTCGTTTCGGGCGCCACTGAAACACCCTATTGATGCTCAATGAGACCGTAATCAATCCTCTATACTCCGAGGATGCTTGGGAGGCCGCCTGCGGGTGGGCGGGGTAGGCCAGCCCGCCGGGCACCGCGGCCACTGGGCTGCCTACCGCGCGGGCGGGCGGGCCGTCTCCCGCGCCAACCCCAACCACCGTGGCGCCGCCGCGGCCTCAGCCATCAGCCGCCCTCCTCCCCTCCCCTC